ACCAGTTTGATACATAGAATGGTGATGGTTTGATTTCTTAAACGTCTATCCTTTACAAATGAGTTACTAAGCTAATTCAGTGGTTTAAAAAACATGGTTTTGTGACATCTCAGGGCAGTGGTTTTCAAAGTTTGAACCTTGGACCAAGGTGATGGTTCAGCATCACCCAAGAACTTGTTAGAAGTACACATTCTCAGGCTCTGCCCCAGACACTCGGAGAATGGGACCCAGAAATCTAACAAGCCTTCCAGGTGATTCTGATGCACAATAAAGTTTGAGAACCGCAACCCTTCATGTTGCACATTTTTAAAATATTTTAACTTTTTTAATTAAAAAAAACCCTCACTGCTTCTAGGAGGAGCGGGCACAAAATCAAACAATGCCAGATGGTTACTGCAGAAGGCTGATAATACCTTTAAGACACCAGCCCATCAGAAACTCAACAAAACCAATAAGGTATTTTAAATGAAATAAAAGATAAGAGGTATCTTACCCATAGAAATTATCTTATTTTGCATAAGCTTTTATATCTGGTATCATGGTAATTTTTTTTCATCACAGAAGGCATCATGGTGTCATTCTAAATCATTGATATCTTTAAATGTGAATCTGAGTAAACTAGAATCCTTGACTTCATGGAACTTACAGAGTAATGTGATATTAGATGGGTAAACATGCCCCCAAATGTCATTATAAAGTGTGTTACATGCTATAAAGGAAAAATAAGGAGGTTTACTTATGTGCAGGGAAGATACGTAACTTAGGTTTGGGCAGGTCAAGAACCTTCTCTGAGGTAGTGACACTGAAGTAGAGACAAAGGATGTTGGAGGAATTAACTGGCAAGAATGGGGGAAGGGAGAGGGTGTCACAGAGACATCAGAAGGTTCCAAAGCCCAACCAAGGAGAGAGCTTCAGTCAGGGTCCCCAAGGAAACGGGTGAGTGCAGAGAATAGTGGAGGGCTGGGGCTGGATCCCACAGGGCCCTCCTCGGGACATGGCATTCAAGGCTTAGAGCCTATGTGCAATGGGAAACAATTCACTGGTTTTACGCAGGAGGGATTTGATCTATTATTATTTTATTTCATTTAGCTTTATTGAGGTATAATTGACAAATAATTTATTTGTTTATACCCATTTGTATTTCTCTACCAGGCATGAAATTTATATTTCGTTACCAGGCATGAAATTTTTAAAAAACATGAATTAGAAAAAAATCCTCCAAACAGCTCCCAGTGTCTGCAGCTGCATGGAAGCAGACTAGGTGCAACACTGACTGACCAGCAGAAGGAAGCTAAGCTAGATTTTTCTCATTGTGGTGATAGAGTTATGCTGCTGAACTATTTCTAACTTCGTGCCTTGCTCACGAGGGTCAGGAATACACTCCGTAGCCGGGAAACAAAGCCAAGCACAGAGAGCAAAGCTGTGACTTTGACCACAAAGGGCATCATGTTATTACCTAACTGGGTTTACACGTGGTGGAGCCACGTGACTGTGCAGTTTTCTCACTGAACCACATAAATCGCCCAACAAATGAGGATTCAAGTGTAAAGGTTTCCAAAGTGGATACCATGACTTCCGCAGTACTTAAAGACTCGAGAGAGAGTGGTTTCTCATCACTTCTCGGGTCAAGTCCACACTGCTCAGCTCAGGGCTGGGCCTCACCGACTGCCAGCAGCTTGGCACGCTCATGACCAAGGTGTGTCACCCAAGCCAGCTGCCACTCACCACGGACACTGCCACTGAAGGCTCACCACCACTTGGGGCTTTTCTTCTACTGTTTGACACCCACATCACTTCTGCCAGTCTACTTCTATCATGCCCTTCTAGCCTCAACTCAGAAAATAAAGAGGAAAAGTTGATTTTTTTTGAAAAAGGTAACAGTCTTTGAAAAAGAGTAGAAACAGTCAAAAGACAAATGCCAATGTTTAACAATATTTCTAGTCCTGAGAGAGTTTAAATACCTCATAGTGTAATTGTAGGTGGGTTATTTTGGGTTACCGATTCTGAACATACTTATTGAGCATCAGATATGTGTGAAACACTGTCTCAGGGGGAGATGACTATGATCTAATCCTTGGCCGACAGCAACTTCCAGTCCAAGGAGGAGACAGGAGACACCCAGGAAATAAGCAGTTAGAACACGGTGTGAGGAAGTTTCCAGTGAAGGCTCGTCGAGGGAGGGATCTCAGGTACTGAGTCCTGAAGAATGGCAGGGAGCAGATAGGGTGGCGGGGGCTCAGTAGGCAGAGAGAGCAGCTTGTACAGGCTTGGAGGCAATTCAGAAGTCCTTAGGGGGTTTCCCTGGTGGCGCAGTGGTTGAGAGTCCGCCTGCCAATGCAGGGGACACGGATTCGTGCCCCGGTCCGGAAAGATCCCACATGCCGCGGAGCGGCTGGGCCCGTGAGCCATGGCCGCTGAGCCTGTGCGTCCAGAGCCTGTGCTCCGCAACGGGAGAGGCCACAGCAGTGAGAGGCCCGCGTACCGCAAAAAAAAAAAAAAAAAAGTCCTTAGGTCTTTATAAGGGAGGTGTACTTCCAGGACAGCAGGGATAAATCAAGTCTTGATTTTCTCTGCTCCAGGCTGACCAGTTCTTAACCCTCTCCTTAAGACAGTCTGTCCCAGTGTAGGTCTTGGTGTCCAGAAGAGGCACAGGCAGGAGACCTGTGTTTTGTGTCCAGGTTGGAAGAAAAATGTTCAGGTTTTCAAACTGAGATATCTATCCAAATGACAGGACATAATATTTACCACCTAGGACAGATGGTGACCGTAGTTTTAATAGCACTTTAAAGGCCCAGTGTGCTTCAGGAAGAAAGTCCTTCACACCCTCTGAAAAAGTAATGGATGTGGAAACTTACATGACTCCTAATAAAACTTTAGAAGTAGGCAATAGAAGGGATATTGGCATGTTGAGTCCCTTCCAAATCCTCCAAATTTGTGACTCCCAAGCATTGTGATGAAACTAGTGATGGGCTTACAATTCCATTTATGGATTTGGTAATGTATTTTGTTTTGACTCTTACTATGTGTCAGATGGACTTCTTTTTCCCCCCAGATGGGACTTCTGTGACTAGTCACTCTAATTCTGCATCAGTGCCAGTTGTTTTTCCATCACTCTAGAATATCAGTAACACTAGCAAATCTCCAAGCAGGTGATGTTGTATCACACCTAACACTTAGACTTGGCCAAAATCAAGTCCATGAGATGAACTGCAGACAAGTAAAAGCCATTATGTACTTAACAGCACCAAAATTTTCCATTACAAATACTGTTTTTACTTTTTCTTACTTAAAAAAAAAAAAAAAAGTGCCTTGAGGGGCTTTGAATTTCTAAGCCTTCGAGATCAAAGATTTCTTCAGCTGCCTGAATTATAGGAATTTGGAAAACAAAAATCCTTTTCCTGCTATAAAATCCTTGCCATATTTTTGTCTTTATGTAATTCAAAACAGCTGAACTAAAAAATGAGGTTAATGAGTTCTAAAAACTCATCGGAAATGGAGTAGTCAATAATTTTGCAAGTGTCATTCTAATTAATCTGACCCAAGAATAAATTTTACTAAATTCTTATCTGATATTCCAGAAAATTGCTAAATAGCACTTGGAATTAAACAACTTGTGGCTAAGGATACCAAAATGTTTAAATTGTTTATTAAAGTGATTCAAGACTGAATTATAATAATGTGGGCATGGCGGTAGTAGCAGCCAGTGTAATTTTCCTGTGATTCCACACACACCCTTGGCTACGTTTGTGTCCTTTTAGCAGCATGATTGGCTAAATAGTGAACTGTTTATTTCAAAAGCCTTTGCAGAAAACATAGACCTTTTTATAAAGCAATAGTTTATATGTAGTTATCAGTTTGCTGATGTTTTTAGTATACAGCCTGACCCTCAGGATAAACTGCTTTTAGCAGGGGGGTGACGTTAGCTCATAGATCATCTGCGATAACAGACACCCTGACGGTTTGCTACCTGTGCACTAGTGGTCTCAGAATTTCAGCACTTCCAAAATGAACCAATTTTTGCTTTATCACAAGAGAGATCTCATTATGTTCATACTCATGAAAAAGCTAGATGGCAAATATGGTAGAAAGTACATGTCCTTACGCATGGGGGCGTAGCAGTGGCTTATGTGCTTTCTGACATTTGAGACTTAAGGCACTTTATATGTATGAGGACATTTGTTTCCAATTTCCTCCTGTGTTACCTTTAAAAGAAATTTCAATAAGTTTTTTCCCAAGTATTGTATTATAAAGAAATACAGTCTAGAGAAAAATTCGAAGACAAAAAGTAAAGAAAATATAAACATGAGTTTTAAAAATCCCACCATTTGCATTTGTTTTTATGTCAATCTACATTTTATTGATTTTGCTTTATGAGAATGTATTTACATAATTGAGATCGTGTTGCATACAGAATTTCTACTTTTTTCTTTATAACACGGTACTCTAAGTTTTGTAGCATCAGTCTTAATGAATGCATACTACTCCTTTATAACCATTTTGGGACATTCAAGTTGCTTCCAGTATTTTGCAATCATAAACAATTCTGCAGTTCACATCTTTATACGTAAAACTTTTCCAATATTGCTGTATTAGACAAAGACTTTAGGCTGTAAGTCACAAGAAATCAATTCACCCTGGCTTAAGCAAAAGAGGAACTGTATTAGCTTGGGTAATTAAAAAGCTAGGGGTAGAGATTGGCTTCAGGCATGGCTAGACTTAGGGGCTCAGCAGTGTCTTCAGGAATCCATCTTCCATCTCCTGGACCAGCTTCCCTTTGTGCTGATTTCATTCTCACGTCTGCTCCTTTACCTCTTCCCATAAGAAACAGCAGCTCTGTCCTAGCATTTCTCCCAGCAGAACTCCCACAGTTGAAGCTCACTAATATGACTGGGGTCAAACATGTAACTCTGAGCCTGTCACTGGGGCCAGGACAAGGGAATGTTCTGAGTGGCCTATAGGACCCCCTGCTCCCTTTCCCACCTCTCCCATCTGACTCCTCCACTGCCCTCACTGTGCACACCTGGACCCTTTGCTGTTTCTTGAGCCCACCAGTCTGTCCTTCATCCGGGGCCACTACTCTTGTCCCCTCTGCCTTGCTCACACTTCCCCCAATGTCCCCATGGTTTGCTGCCCTCTCACTTCCTTCAGGCCCTACTCAGGGACTGCCCTGATCCCCTCTTCACTCTCTAGTCTCTCTCCCTGTTTCTCTTTGTGGACTTATGACTACCTGATGTTCTATTATATATTCGCGTGGTATATGTACGAATTATTTGTCTCCTTCCATGGGAACCACGAGGGCTGGCAGTTCCGTTTGCAGCTCTCTCCAGCATCTAGTATTTATCAAGTGAGTTAATGAATGAGTTTGCCAGGCCAGGCATGTACCCATCTGTAGGGTCAGTCCACCCTAAGGATAAGAGGTGTCTGAAAGGATGGTGTGATTCCTCAAAGAAAACAGGTGGCCATCTCCGGACCAAGGGGGACTGGTTGCCAGACCGTCCACAGCATTGTCACGCTTTCAAGTTCAGATCATCGTCTACAGCAAAGTCCCAGGAGTGGGATTCCAAAGGATACGAATGTTTTGAGTTTCCTGGTATGTACTTCAACCCCCTATAAAACTCCTCCTCGTAGTAGACAAAATAGTCTTAAATGCAGATCATATCATGCCCCCCCCACAACTTAAACCCGATAGCTCCCCACTGTACTGGGAATAAAAGAAGAGCTCTGCCCTGGCACCCCAGGCCCCAAATGCTCCATTATCAGCCTTACTCTCTGACCTCTCAGGCTGCAGCACACTAGCTTTCTGTTCTGCCCTGGAATCCACACATTCCACCTCAGGACCCTCGTGTTATCTCTCCCTTCTCTGCCTGGAAGGCCTGGATCACAGATCTGGCCTGACAGCCGCCTCTTCTCTCTCCTCAGAGCTCAGCTCAAATGTCCCCCCATGAGACCACCCAAACAGCACCCCTCTCCCTCACCCGCACCTGGGCCTTTCCAGCAAACCTGGTGTGTTTTCTTTACAGTGTCAACACCCTTTTATTTGTTACCTCATTTATTCTGTCTTCATCACTAGAATGTAAGTTCCATGATGCCTTTTTCTCGCTGTCCACTGCTGTATTCCCCAAACTCAAAAAATGGTACCTGGCATATCAAAGGCCTTTAATGAAGTTTTTTGGAAAAAAAATAACAAAATGCTCTTCAGGAGGATTGTAGCAATTAACACCCCTATCAGCAGTAAGAATGCTCATTTCACCTCATCTCTCATTGAAGCGGTTTTCTTAGAATACAGCTCAAGGGATGTAATTTTGGGGAGAAGCAATGGGGCCGTTTAACAACTACCACTCCCACTTGAACAGAGATCAGGCACATTCTGGTACAGCCAGGTATGTTACAACAAGGCCCCACCAATAAGATTTTACTTTCCCATCTAGTTTAAGTACAGCCCGAATCTTCATCCCCACTATGTAAGTGAAGAAAGACTCCTTTGTGTTGCAACTGGACTCAAGGGAAATTTCTAAACATGTTACACCAAGTAAAAATTAGTGAATAATCAGCTCAAGTATTTGGGATATGGGTGGGCATCATTTCTGTGCATTCCCATCCCAAATTATCCAGCTGTGCTAATATTTTGACTTATAGAACCTTCGCTAATCTTTCATTATTAACATTAAAATGCATATATTTTGTACATTACTTTTTGTTTTAAAGCACTTCAGGTTAAAAGAAAGTCTTGCAAAAATAATTGATCTACATAAAAAGTATTTAATATAGAGAATACCAAAGCACCTTTCATCAGGTAAAAGTCCCTGTGACATATATCAGATAATACTAATCAAATCTCCCTTTACCTGAAAAGAATTTCTGTTTGAATACAAAGTAATAAACTTCTTGTTCCCATCTTTTTTCAGACAAATCTTCAGCATCACTGAATTTGGGGGTCACAATTAATCCAGCAAAGAAGTGATTGTGTTCTTCAAAAGAAAATAGCCAATACAAAGTTTTCTAGTTTAAAAACAGCACCATTGGAGGAAAGGGATATGTCTTTTAAGTGCAAAGTCCCTAAACAAGTGATTTACCAAAATTCATGCTAACTAAACTTTGAGTGGTTGCTTTCTATAACCTTCCTGTGATCCGGGGTAGAAAACAGAATAAAGTTAAAAAACAAAGCAAAACAGTAACTTTTAAGAATCAACACACAGACACACACACACACACACACACCCCTGGCAGAGCGTGTTTTTCTTTGTTTTCTGCCAATTGTATCACCAGTCAGCGACCTCTACCACAAAGGGCGTTTTCACATCTATCTTGCCACTGTTGATGATGGAGCAGTTGGTGAGTGGACGGTCATGCCCATCAGTTGCCTGCAGTTCTATGGAGTGGACCACCGTCTGGTGAGAGAAAAGTAGACCCATGGATCACTTCTGACCAGCAACTGTGGTGATCAAGAGGTAAAATCAATGTGAAGTCTGAAAGCCCTAGTGGGAAATAAGTTGTTTTTGCTTTTTCTATTATTACGAAAACCATGCAAGATAACTATGGAAAATTTAGTCAGGAAATTTATATATAACAGAATAAAATGTACCCACTAGCTTGCTAATCAGAGAGCATACTTGTGTATTTCCTCTTTTCTTATTATTAGCATTTTATATTCTAAAAAAATTAGATATTTTTGCAAACATCTAGCGCTAATAAAAAGTATTTCTATTCACTTGTTACAACCCAACTTAAGAGTTAACATGGAGTTTGAGACAATTTCAGCTCCACTCTATAAGAGGTCTAGGCATAAGAAAATGAGCCAGAAAGCAGATTCAGTAGTGGAGCTAGTTCTGGGTTTGTCCATTTTAAAGCTGACCCCAGCCAGTAATCTACAGGTTGAGTCTGCTACTAATGTAACCCCAACCCCACAGTCGTGTAAAAGGCCCCTTTCTCTACTCCGGAAGGCTTCACAAGCTCATGGACTAATTTATATCACATACTGGGCCAGGACTAGGCAAGTGGACTTCTGATGAGTTTCCCAAACAGCGCTGAGACAAAAATAGCAACAAAGTCTCTGAGCGCTTTGGACATGGTGTCAGCTAATCCAGTCTCTGGCTGACTTAGGTTAATTTAAGATAAACGACCAGCATTCTTCTAATAATATCAATAATATATATTTCTAAATAGATTGTGTGTGGGGGTTCATATGTGCACACGTGTACCTAAAGCAGCAGCTACACATCCAAATTACCTGTGGCACTTTAAAAACTGCTTATTTAATGGTTAAAATGGAAATTTCTATGTTGTGTACATTTTACCACAATTTTTTAACACGCTTATTCGCGGGCCCACCTCTGGAGGCTCAGGGGTTTTAAAAATAAACCACATGGGGCTCAGGGCTTTTAAAAATATTTTATTTTGAATTGTGGTAAGAAACACATAACATAAAATTTGCCGTCTTATCCATTTCTAAGTGTACAGTTCATCAGTTTAAGCATATTCCCACTATTGTGCAACTAAACTCCAGAACTTTTTCATCTTATAAAACTGAAGATCTATAGAGATACCCGCTGAAACTAGCTCCCAGTTTCCTCATCCCCCCAGCCCCTGGCAACCGCCATCGTGCTTTATGTTCCCATGTATTTGACTACTTTAGATACCTCATTTGAATGGAATCATACAGCCTTTTTGTGACTGGCTTGTTTTCTTTAACATTCCAAAGGTTTATTCATGTTGTAGCATGTGACAGGATCTCCTTCCTTTTTAAGGCTGAATAATATTTCATTGTATGTACATATGGGATTTTATCTGGTTACTTTAAAAAGAGTTTCCACTTATTTCAAGTGTGAGATGAATTAAGTACTCAACTTCTCCCTGTCAAGTCCCCAGCTTCTGCCCCAATGCTCATAACAATTAAAAATACCACACCATATATAATTTATTCACCTTTGAAGAGGCCAGTCAGCATATAATTATGGCTCTCTAACAAGCACATTTGGAGATTAAATCACTAAGAGTACTCTCATTATAAATCTTTGAATGAGAAAAAATAATACATCAAGTTACCATTCCATCAATGACTTTTCCAAATACCACATGTTTGCCATCCAACCAGGTGGGCTTGGTCAAGGTGATAAAGAACTGAGAGCCATTGGTGTCAGGCCCAGCATTGGCCATGCTGACCCACCCAATGCCATAATGCTTCAGTTTGAAGTTCTCATCTGGAAATGTCTCGCCATAAATGCTTATACCTGAGTGAGACAAAACAAAAAGGGGAGAGACAACAACAGATGTTCTATGAAAGTAAATTCTTCAAAGGGGAATATAAGGTTTGAGTAGATTGGTTAATAGAACCCTGTAGGAGGTTGGGATGGGGAAAAGATGGTCAAATATAAGGAGAAATAAAGCAGAGGATAAAATTAACGGGGACTTCCCTGGAGGTCCGGTAGTTAAGATCCCATGCTTCCACTGCAGGGGGCATGGGTTAGATCCCTGGCTGGGGAACTAGGATCCTGCATGCCGCGCAGCACGGCCAAAAAAATTTTTTTAAAAAAATTAGCTCCTTAAGGAAACAGGGCATCAGGGACCAAAACAAATAAACAAAAGCCTTAAGTATGACACAAGATGGGAGGATGCCCTCTGGCCTCAAACCAAGACCCAAACCCTGAACAAGCAAGTCAGTGATTTCACTCTGAAACGAGAAGGAACTGAAGGGCGGGATGACATTGTGAAGCCCAATGGAAAGGTGGATAAGCCAACTTAGTGGCTCCACCTCTGTCCTGAGGTTCAGGTCACTTGCCCTGGATCACTCCTACCTCTGCAGCCAACCAGAGTACAATACGCACTTAATATACACCCTTAGTTAATTCTCACAACAATCCTACAGAATAGGTTTTCTCATTCCCATTTTGAATGGGAAACAGGTTATCAAACTTGAAAACAGCAGAGTAGAACTTGAACTTCTGGCTCTAACTCTGGTTCCCTAAGCACGAAGAGCCTCAGCACTGAGAGCAACAGCGCAAGCCTGGAAGTCATTAGGCTTGATGACTTCAGGGCTCATCAGGATACAGAGGGTCACAGCAAGTGGCAGCACCCAGGGAGCCAACCTTGAACGGAAGAACCAAAGGCAGGCATGGGGGCTGGAGATCAAGCACAGCAGCAGGGAGAGCAGAACACATTTTTCCTATAAAACAACAGTACAGACCATGAAAAGTATCTGCTCCATCCTCTAACACCCTGAGTGACCGTCACACCCACCTCCTCCACTGCAGGGCTCCTTATCCATTGGTGGCCAGCCTTAAAGTCCTGGCTCAGTTAGCTCCTGTGTTATCTCCTTTCTTACTATGCAGTACTTGTGAAGGACCGGGCAAAAATTCTACTTCCTTAAGACTTGGGTCTCACTTAGGCGTTTTTCTTCATTTATATACAACCAAAACTTCTTCATAGCTAATGTAGTTAACTTTTAAAACACAATATCTACAAAGTGTTGCAGTAGAGGAATTAGTAAGGACATTCTGTGAATCCTAATTATTTTCCTTCTTAAGGTTTACATCTTGCAATATATGGCTTTTGAATGAATAACTAGATATTTTAACAACTTCACTCCTTTGTAATTGTCTTATTTTATACTTATCTGAGTAATTAATACAATATTTAATAATTTAAGGAAACCTGACTGTTTTGTTTTGTTTTTTTGTAGACTAGATCAAATATAATTCATCTTACCCAGAAAAAAAAAATCCTGGCTCAGTTAGAAGGACCAGAAGTGGATACCAAAGGCAAGCCACTTATAGCTGGTTGGTAAGTGACATATGAGGTGGGCTGGCAGCAAAGTTTTGCCTACAGAGAGGTCTAGGCTAAATTTAAATGATCCAAAAGGTCCTATCTACAAAACTCATGTGAACCCATACACACACACAGAGCAGGGAAAGCAGAGAGAGAGAGGGACACAGAAAAGAGGACACAGTAGAGCTCCATCACCATTCTTGCTGGGCCCCAGGCAGGGCGGTGGGGTGCCAGTCCTGAGGGGACCCGTACTGGAGCTGCAGGCTTTTCCACTGAGACCCAGCTCTGCAGCAGCTGGGGTTGCTACCCTGAGCATCCTCACCAACCTCATGAAACCAAGTAACCTGAACATGTTCCTGTGCTCCATTCTACATTCCCATACCCAGCAGCATTTCTGCAGGGACTAAAAGTAACCCTCCTGAAGTGTCTGGCAAATCCAAACATTTAATGGCGGCCATTTTGTTATTTTAAAAATTGCAATAAACATAAAATTAACAATAGTGCTTGAAAATGGCTTGTTTCTTGAAAAAGTTAGCAATTTAATATCCACCAAAACCAGTATTTGCTGAATTAAAAATCTTAAACCTGAAGTAAATTTAAATTCTGTGTGGTTATATACTGTGTGTGTGTTCAGGAATTCACTACATTTCTGAGGAAAAATAGTCCAGGGAGCTGGGTAGCTGGAATCCTCAATGAGAAACAATAAGCTCAGAGATACTTAAACTCTATAAATTGAATTATTTGTACTTTATAGAATTCTAACTTTGTTGATAAAAATTAATGTATACTGTAATTTTGACAAGTTGTCTATTACTTAACTTTTTTATTATTGAAAAAGCTGACAATTAAAATGAAAGAATTTTGAAAGAAGGAGGTACATTCACCTATAATCCTGCCACCTGAATACCAGCCTCATCATTCTGGCATGATGTCCCCAGGCCCCCTCCACCAACGTGCACATCTGCAGCTGGCTGCCACCCCAGGGTACAGTTTTTCAGTCTACCTTTCCTTGCTATGACAGACATCCTTCTGTATTGCTACATACCAGAAGTCTAGGATTTTAAGCACTGCAAGACAGCCTACTAAATGAATATATCTCCACTATGGAAAGATAATGAACACCAAAGCAATACTGTTACAAATTAGGAGGCTTCACTTATTCACACCTACCAAGATTTTGTTAGATAAGGCCCCCCACCCCAACTCAATCCTTCTTGAAAAATTAGTCTGGTTGTCTTTATGACTTTGTTCCTTAAATCTGGGAATTCAATATGCTGGGTAAATACATCATCTTAATCTTAGGTTTCACCTGGGTAAGCAGGAAAGGAAAAATGTTAGAGACAACATTACCGCCAGTGCCATCTCCACTGGTGAAGTCTCCTCCTTGAATCATGAAATCTTTGATGACACGATGAAATTTGCTTCCTCTATATCCATATCCTTTCTAAAGAGATTATGTCAATTGAATACACAAGTAGATATAACCCATACTGTAAGATAAACCCCAGTGTTTATCTGGAAATGACAAAATGAGAAAATTACACAAAGTATCTACAGAACTAGATTAGGTGCCTGCAATAATTTACTGATAGAAATTTATCATTAGCTGACTGAAAAGTAAACACATAAACTATAGAGGTAAAGTATTAACCTGCACAAGTAAAAAGAGAGAAGTCTGCATTTTCACTTGATGACTGTTTCCTGTCAGTTTCTAGAACCCTGAGGAAACTGAGGGCTTGAAGAATAGCGATTTTCTAGGAAAATAAAGTAAAATATTGTTAGATGTCTCAAGTTCATCTCATCTACTAATTTAATACTTATTTTCCCAGAATACATCTTTACGTTTGGCTTAAAAGAAGGAAGATCTACTTCTGCTCAGTTAAAGGGAATAAAACTGAGACATACCTCTCCTGTTGCCAGAGCGATAAAATTTTCCACAGTCTTGGGCACAACTTTTCCAAAGAGACCAATCACAATTCTGCCAACATCTTTATCTCCAATCCTCACATCAAAGAAGACCTGCGTGTGGTTGAAAGGCAGAGCAGAAGGTTATAATGTGAAAAAGCCACAATACAAGGTAAGGGAACATGATAATCTGAGAACTGATCCACATGCAAGGGCCCTGCCCACCAGTATTTTATAAAGGAGCACGAAGGAGCTATTTTATGAAGGAGCATGATATAAATTAAAGGAGATCTGAAACCATCTTGTGGGTGCATTTCACTCACAAATATTCATTCACCAAACAGTTATGGAGCACCACCTCTAGGCCAGGCACTGTACTAGAAACTGGGTTTAAAGTTGGACTCAATACTGTCAGAGTCAGCCAGTAATGTCTTCAAGAATTCCTCTCCCCTCCACAACCCAGACCAGCACTGCTCTGGCCTCCTGTTTCCTAGCTCTGCGGACACGGGTTAGAGTGGAGACTGTTGGTCTCCTGAGAGGTAATGCTCTCCAGTCTTGGCAGGAGGAAAAAAAATGGTGAGGAGAGAAACAGTCTAACCATCCAGATTTATTTTTTCATAACTTCAAGCAGTGCTAAATTCCCAATGAGTTCTCAGTAGACATCTGCTGTCAAGGGGACCGTGAAAGATTATCACAACACACAACACTCCTTCAGAAGGCCTGCTACTCACGTCCAGACACACTAAGGCACCAGGACCACAGCTGCACCCAAAATACAACAAACATTACACTCAGGTCCTGACAGAACCATTTACCCTGTAAACTCAGACACCAAATTCAGTCATCATGTCCCCAAAGTTGCACATGTACAATGTGTCCTTACTCTGTCACAACAGTTTAGAACAGAAAAGAGCAAGCACACATCCAGAAATGAGTCACTTTTTTTTTGCAGATAAACTTTAAAAGCTCTCTTGGACTTTTTTTTAACTGTTTCATCTGAAATGAAATTACATACATCTTGCTTCACAAATCATTGTGTTGAGATGATTCTGAGATAGAATGCTTGAAAAGGCCATGGAGTCAAAGGGCATTCTATTAGCGAGTTTAGATTATACGAACCAATGTACTGTTTGAATGGGTAAAAAAGACATTCAAGAGATGGCTTTAAAAAATATAAGAAGGGTTGTCAAAGAGAAAAGATGTCGTACAGTTTAGAAAAATCACGAAGTAAAGACTGTCAAGCTTTAGTTCAAGACAGAGCTTCTGTCAATACGTCAGGACGTCTGTCACAGGATGATGTGGTATTTTGCCATTTTACACGGCCAAAGCAGCAAAGACTGTATTACTATTTATATGGTAAAACTTCATAGAACGCACAGAAGACGGTGCCCTTGAGAATGGGCAGTGCAGTGGAGTAGGACAATTCAGGAAGCTGCATTAACACCCACGGGAGCCCAGCACGCAGAGCTGGGATCAAAGAGAAGCAGGTTCTCCAAAGGGATTTCTGAACCAAGGAGTAAATTCAATAACAGGCAATAATGAAGCAGCACCGGGACAAGAATTGGGTATGTAATCGTAAAGAAGCACCCTATAAGACACTAGAAGAGCCTATCAGACTTCTAAAATAAAGAAGAGGAAATAAAGCCTGTGAACACTTCAACAGCAAAGAGAATCAAATATGGGAGGGCAGCATAAGAAGATGAAGCAAAAGTGTCTGTCACCCAGCATAACTCTTCAGGAAAAATCTTATTTTCTTACACTCAGCCTAGCACACATATTAATATGATTTTTTTTCCAAACCACAGCATCCTTCAACTTCATGCGTGATGGCAAGAAAATATAGCAGAGTTTCCCTAACTCTAATGGAAATGATGAAATCAAATCTTATTGCCAACAAGTACTTGTCAAAGATCCATGCAGAAGGCAGCGTGAGGGTACAAGCTACTGGAGGGAGTCCCTGTCCTAAGGGAGCTTATGTAAACAGGCCAAGTAAACGAACAACCATAGCACAAGGCCCCAGGTTACAAATGCCCCAAGAACACTGTACACCCCCTGTTCTGGAGGAATGTTAAGGGTGAAGGAAGGCATCCTGGCAAAGGTGTGATGGGAGGCAGGCCTGGAAGGAGGGGAGCAGCCTCCAGGGACAAGGATGGGCAATTCTTTCTGGGACCAAAGCACTGAGTCAGGAAAAGTGATCCATGTGCAGAGAAGCAACACAGCCCTTCTGACCGCAACCGGCTGGGAAGGGAGACTCTCACCAGTTCCAGAGGCAAAGGAAGGATGCCAGCTGAGAGATCCAGCTTTTGTTAGGCAACACTAGGAGCATGAAAGACAAAATTTCAATTTGAGGCTGCGTTCACTTGGACTGCGATTTATGATGAATATGGCTCTGTCTAGGCAGGGACCCCTTAAGGGGTAGAAACGGTGTTTTTAGATTCCCAGTGCTCTGCAGTGTCAGCTCACGCAGGTACTCAAAAAATCCTAAATAGTTCAATGCCAGTTGATACTAAATGAGGACCAGGGCGCACACACACCTAGACAGAGGGTGAAGGTGGGCCCAGGGTGGCTGCCAGGCAAACCCTCTCACCCTGATATCGTCTGTGACTTTGCTGCGTGTCCTTGGGAACAGGCCCCGTGCTAGACAAGGGGTGGGGCTGCAAAGTCCCTACCCTCCTGGAGCTTAGCGTCCCACAGAAGAGAAAGCACATAGATACTCGCTATAATATAATGGGAAGTCAGGTTTCACGAGAAGATATGTACAGATAAAATGTCACGGTTAGAGGTGATGATTATCTGTGGAGATCAGGGCAGGCTTCCTGGAAAAGGTGGCACTTGAATTCCATGTTGCACTTCAGGAGCTGGCCCCTCAGTCACTCCTTTTTTCCCTTGAGGCTGCCCTTGAAAGTCATTTGAAAATTACGGGGGGGACTTCCCTGGTGGTGCAGTGGTTAAGAATCCTCCTGCCAACACAGGGGACACGGGTTCGAGCCCTGGTCCGGGAAGATCCCACATGCCGCAGAGCAACTAAGTCCGTGCGTCACTGAGCCTGTGCTCTAGAGCCCGCGAGCCACGACTACTGAGCCCATGTGCCACAACTATGGAAGCCCACGTGCCTAGAGTCTGTGCTCCACAACAAGAGAAGCCACTGCAATGAGAAGCCCGCACATTGTAACGAAGAGTAGCCCCTGCTCGCTGCAACTAGAGAAAGCCCACGCGCAGCGACGAAGACCCAACACAGCCAAAAATAAATAAGTAAATAAATTTATTTTTTTTTAAATTACAAGGCACTGGAGGTGGGGAGAGACAGGGGAAGAGGCAAGAGGCACTCACATAGCCTGGCCCAAACCCTGTAGGGTTAATCCTGCTTCCATTTCCAAAGTAACTGGGGAAGACACCAAGGACACGAGCTGTGAGGTCCAGGAAACTGTTCTCAAACCAGCTCCAGCACTAACTGGCCATGGGACCTTGGGCAGCTCTGAGCTCCTGTTCGTCATCTGTACCCAGATGATGATTCCTCTCAGGGCTGCACTGCCACAGGAGGATTAATAACATAACACAAATAACACTAACAATTGACCTCTTTAATCAGGAACTTCAATCAGGGCTAAGCATTTTACATGCTTTATCACATCTAATATGCAAAACCCTGCAGGTAGGTATTATTTCTCTTTCCACTTACAGAGGAAATAGAAATGGAACAGAGGAGGAGCCTCAGACATTAGGTAACTTGTTGTTACCTCAGCTGAAGCCTCTTGGCCACTCCAAGAGCTGCGGGAAGTGCCAGCAAACTGTGACATGAGTGCAGCTGGAAAGGTGGCAGCAGTATTTTCTACAGTCTCGGTGTCTGACCCTGCACAGAGCCCATGGCATCTGCTGGAAAGTGCAGGGCTGCAAACACTAATTCGGTGGATTTTGAGACCAGTGAGCTGGAGCCCAAACCTGAGGCTCCACGGATGGGCAGGAGGCTGAGGTGTCCAGCTGGCAGCAGGATTCATGGACAAGGTGAGTGCCATTAAAGGGCCCTGGGGGGAATAGCACTTCACACCTCTCATTTACAGATTCCTGTTTTTAAACAAAATCAGAGGAAAAGGTAAAGACTGCTGGGGAAAACAATAAACTAGAGTGATGGCCAATTAATCTACTTTTTCACACTCAGAGAAATCATTTTTTAATGTTTCCACTTTCCAATAGATTAGTTGTTTTAAAATGTCCACTGAAAAAGTAATTCAACAGAGTTGAAACTGTGGAAGGACATGCCTACACAGTTTTTAGAACATAATGACAAATGGGGTGGGAAAAAAGGAGATAGATTGAGTGACTGTTCCAAAAGTAGAGTCCTGAAAACTCCCTCAGTGACAGCACCCTGGACTTGGGGCTAAGATGCCCCAACTCTTCCCCTCTTGCAGCCACCAGCTTCCTCCCCTCTCCTCGAGGTTCCCAACCACAGCTTCACACTCCCAGAGACTGTGATTACTGATTACTTGCTCTGGGGTAGTCTCTGCACACTGGTAGGTCTAAAAGCTTCCCAGGTAAGCCTGTTCCCAAATACTATAGGTGACGTTCTCACAGTAACAAATTATTCGTTGCATATCTGAAATTCACATCTCACTGGGCATCCTGTATTTCATCTGACAGTCCTACTCCCTTTCTCCCACCCTTATCTAAACAGTCAGCAAGTCCTGTTAGTTACACTTCAAAAGTCGATTTCTAGTCCCTCCCTGGCTCCCCATTTCCACCATTATCCCCCCTAATCCAAGCCACCACCATCCAGATTCTGACCTGGAGCCCTGAAGACCTCCCAGTTCACTCTCCACTGAACAACCACAGTAATTGTTTAAAAGCATATATGAGATCATGTCAATCCCATGCTTAAAACCATTCAGCAGCTATAACTGCACTTATAATAAAACCTCAAATTATGAGAATAATTGCCTTAAAACCCATACTCCGAACTGTGGCCCGGAAGACACTACCTGATCTTGCTGCTGCTCACCCAGAACCTCATCTCAAGCCACTCCCCCTCTCATCCCTGGGCTGAAGCCACACCATCCCTTCTCCATCGTCTGAACATACTTTTCTGTCTGGAGGGCTTGCATATGCAGTTCCCTTTGCCTCCTAAGTCTTTGCCAGGCTTTTTTTTTTTTTTTCTTACCCTTCAGGTATTTTTAAATGTCACCCAATCTATTTCCGGGTTTATTTCCTTCATCATTTCAACTTCATGAATTTTATGTTTAAGGCTTATCCCATGAGACCCAAATAGTATCTGCAGATTGGAAGAACCCCCCCCACTTCCCCCCCTTCAGCTATGTGGCTTTGTATAAGCAGTTTCCCAAAGCTAGATAAGCTCCAGAGATCAAGGGGCTGGGAGGAGAATCAGTGCTCAAAGCCAGCAAGCTCAGTTTATCACCGCACATACTTCGCAGCACGGCCTTTCTGTTCACTCTTAGGCTACATCAGATGTTGGGCTGAACCTCCCCCGCCCCTTGTCCTCCCTCCTCCTCGGGTGGGGTGTGTGGTAGAGGATTTAAGCATCCAACAGTATCATTTCTACTGGCAGACACCGGACCGATTGTTAAGACCACCTGCAGCTGCCCCTCCTTCCAGATTCCAAGACACCCCTGCCACTGGGTTTTCTAGAAGTGGTCATCAAGGACCCCAAATCATCCCCTCCCTCCCTCCCTCTATCTCTCCCTGCACCCTCCCATTATCCTCTAACCTTGGCTAAATATGGTGGGGAAAGCCCTGAAGCTGTAAAGACCAGTCTATGGCAGATGTCCCCCCACCACACCCCCCAGTCGTGATCAAAAGGCTGGCCTCAGTTATACTGGAGCCGCCTGTGCCTTGCTAGCACCGTCCCCAAGCCCTGGGGTCCACCCACCAGCCGCCAGAGTCTGAAAAGCGCACCTCTCCCTCCCCGGGGAGGACGGTCGCTCCTAAATACAGGAAAAGGAAGATAGCCCTTGGTTTCAGCAAGGCCACGTAATGCCTGCCCCGACCCCACCGCGACAGGGGCTGGACCTGGGATCTGCCAGGTCAGGTGACACCCGCGGCGGGCGGCCCAGCTGCAACTCCTCCGCTCGCAACGCGTCTCCTCCGCCAGTCCCCGTCCCTCCCGCATTCTTCCTGCTTCTATTCCCTAGTCCCCGCCAAGGCGAAGGAAGTACTTGGCGGTCTCCTTCCTGAAGAAAGGGCCCGCCGGTTCCGGAAGCTTCTCCCAACTCCCAGGCAAAGTTCAGATAGCCGGCGGCGGGGGCCCAGCGCCCCCAAAGTCTCCCGGGAGAGCGCGGGCAGCCTCCTGCCACCTAGCCCCCCGGCCGCCTCCCGTCCTCTGCGCCCGGGAAGCCCCCTCCTCGCCGCCCCTGACCCTGAGAGGTTCCAGTCCCCAAAGCTCTCCCATCCCCTCGGCCAGCACGAGGGGAAACTGCTGCCCGCCGCCCAGTCACCTTGGCCGTCACCGAGGGGCCTCGCTTGCGGACGCCTGACGCTCCCGCAGGAGGTACGAGAGCGCTGAGCCCCACGCAAAGCACCAGAGGTAGCAGCAGCCGGGGACCCGGGCCCATCGTGAGGGTGGCAGCGGGGGCAGCGCCTCGGGCGCAACCGCAGGCTCCGGTACCGCTGGTGGGACTCTCGGCCGGCTGCGCCTGCGCGCTCCCGGTTCGGGGCGGGGGGGGGGCGGGGGTGATGGGGATGGGGCAGTCTGGGCAGGCCCGGAACCGAGGGCGCCTCCTCCCAAGTTCAGCCCAGCGACCCGAGCTAAGGACTCGGGAGTGGCGCGCCACGGAGGGCGCAGCCGAATCCAGCCACCCAGAGGCTGCTCTGGGCGCCGGGATCCGGAGCGAGCCAGCGCTGCTCGGGTGCTGCGGGCTCGGCCGGGACCCGGGAGCTGAGGGGTGTGCGCTGGGGTATTGCCAGGAACTTACAGCGTAGACGCGTATTAAACCTGATGGGAAGTCGAGGACTCTCCGGGCTCCGGGTCCTCCTGGCAACTTACGCGCCTTAGGGCTGGGGACTCTGCGGACGGGTCCCGGTCTGTGACCGCAGATGCCCTTGGAGCAGCCTCCGCCGCGCCTGCCAGGTTCCAATGTTCCATCAGAGGCTTTAGCTAAGTTTTGGACGCCTCTCAGAACTCTGGGACCCCGGATGTTTCGACTCGATTACACATGATGAATGACCTCTCATTGAGATGATTCAAGTTGGGGATATAATTTTTACAAACTTAAGAATTATGTTTAGGAAAGTTATTTAATGACACGGGGAAATGCTCATATTTTTAAATGGAAAGCTCAGTTTGCAAAATCACATAGAAATTCGGATGTCAACTGTGAAAATAAATGTATAACGGCATTTTAAAAATGGAAAGAAATGTACCAAAACATTTACAGTAGCTATGGTGATAGAATAATGGATTTTTGTTTTCTTTGTAATTTTCTGATTTCCCAGATGTTCTACATTGAGCATGTATTTTATAATCAGGACAATGTTGTTTTAAAACTCAATGCTTTTTGCATTAGAACGTCAAAGAACTTTTTTATTTTAGTGTAATAGCTCCAAAATTAACTGCAAATTAATAATAGTATTCTCTTGGTTTTCTTAGGGGCTAGTGCCATGACTTTCGAGACAAGATTTTACTTAGGTAAGCAGATAGGATTCCTATGTACAACTAAATGTAGATCTCAAATTACCCTGGAACCTTCCAGTGTATACAAAGAGTAACCACCACTTTTGAGGGTTGGACAGAACACTTCTGAACTATTTTGATGTTTCAGCCCAGTGAAGGATCTAATGGCTTTCCTTATCACCTTCACCCCACATAAAGAGGGAGTCTCCCTTTCGTAGCAAGCTAAGGGTATCACAGGGCTTATGCCTGTATTTATTCCTTTTGATTCAGATCTAGTACAATGTCTGGTGTATAGTGATTTCTCAATAAATATTTGTTCAGTGAGTGAATGTGTCTACTTTTTAAAAATTTTATTGGGAAGATTAATACAAATAAAGAAAAGTGCACAAAATGTAAATGTACAAATCAACGAATTATCACTAAGCAAATGCAGCTAGAACCCCACCCATCTAAAGAAATGAAATATTCACCAGCTCTCTAGAAACTCCTCTTGTACCCACTCACAACTACTAACACTTTTTTCTCCCTAAATTAACCACAATCCTGACTTCTTCCAATATGATTTAGTTTTGTTTTAACTTTGTGTGAATGGAATCTTATGTATTCTTTTGCTCAAGTTTGTTTGTGAAATTCATCCACGTTTTTGGGTGTAGCTATTTTGGTTCATAGCACAAGCTAGGGGTCGAATTTTTTTTTTTCCATATGAATTCCACTTGTCTCAGCATAATTTATTGAAAAGTGTTTTCTTTACTTACTGCTCTGTAATGCTACTTCTGTCATGGAACAAGTGTCCCTACATGCATGGGTCTGTTTGTGGGCCCTCTTTTCTGTCCCATTGGCATGTTTGTCTATCTTTGTGCCAATACCACATTGTCTTAATGAAAATAGCCTTATAGTAAGTCTTCATTTTTACTAGTACAAGTCTCAGCACTTTGTACAACAGATTTTTGGCTATTCTTGATGCTTTCTATTTTCATATAAACTTGAGTTCATATCAGCTTGTCAGTTTCCATAAACTGGGATTTTGATTGGAATTGCATTGCATGTATACATCATTTTGGAAAGACTTGGCATATTTGTAACATTGAGTCTTCCAGTTCATGAATGTGTCATATTCCTCTATTTATTTAGATCTTCTTTAATTTCTCTCAGTAAGATTTCATAAGGTCTTACACATGTTAGATTGATTTCAAGGTGTTCGGTTTTTGGTTTGGTTTTGTTTTTTGCTGTTATAAATTATATCTTTTTAAACACTTATTTTTGTTTTTTGGTATTACATCATAGTAAAATAAATTTTATTAATCTTGAATAGACCAGTTTGTTAAACTTATTAATTCTAATATTTTATCTGTGAATTATTTAGGATTTTCTACAGAGACAACTATATTATTCATGAATAATGACAGTTTTACTTCTTCCTTTCTAATCTTTATACCTTTTATTTCTTTTTCTTGCCTTATTGCACGGCCAGGACCTTCAGTACAAAAAGAAGTGACAATAGGGTGAGTCCTTGTTTTTTGGATTAAATTTTGCCCCCAAAAATGTACGTTGAAGTCCTAAACCCCAGTATATGTGAATGTGACCCTATTTCCAAATAGGGTTTTTTGCAGATGTAATCAAGTTAAGATGAGATTGTACTGGAGTAGGTTGGCCCTACTGCAATACGACTGGTGTCCTTGTAAAAAGAGGAGTGACAAAGACACACACAGAGGAAGACACCATGTGAAGACCCTAGGAAACTAATAATAAACTTGTCCGTCCTAATGCCAGAAGGAAAGCTTTCAATATTTTATCGTTAAGTCTGATATTTGCTGAATGTTCTTTTGGGTGGGGATACTCTTTTTTGACTTAAGAAAATTCCTTTCTTAGTCCTAGTTTGTTAAGAGGTTTTATCATGAATTAAATCAACATCATGTATTGAAATCAACCAAAATAATCAGGTGATATTCCCTTAATCTCTAAATGTGGTGAATTGCATTGATTTTTAAGTCTTAACCTATCCTTGCTTCCTGGAATACGCCCAACAAGTATTGACCTTTTTTTCTATTGCTGTATATATATATATATATATATATATATATATAAAACAAACTTAACAAGAACTGAAAAAAGACATTACTTCTGAAATGAATTTCAGGAAAACAAAAACAGTAAATAAATTGATTCTGGCTTTCCAGTTCAGACCAAGCAAATCACCAACATTCCATTTTTATGTTAATGGGTAAGTTTGTTATTCTTAAGTTCAGGATATTTGCATCTATATTCACAAATCAGACCAGCTTAAAAATTTTTTTTTTGGAATTTCCTGTCAGTACTTTTTTTTTTTAATCAGGGTTATTCTAGCACCTTAACATGAATCGGCAAATGGTAGGTATTTTTCCTGTTCTCTGAAAAGACTTGTGAAAGATTGCCGTTATTTCTTCCTTGAATGTTTCTTACAAGCCATCTGTGCCCAGAGTTTTCTTTATTGTAAAGTTTTAAATTATAGGTTTAATTTTTTAAATGGTTGAAGGATTATTTAAATTTTCTATTCTTCTGTCAGTTTTTACATGTATATTTTGAGGAATTTGCTTCATTTATATTTTAAAATTTACTTACATAAAGTTATTTAATATATCTTTTTATAATTTTGTAGGTCTGCAGAACTTATAGTCAGGTCTTCTTTTTTCATTCCTGACATTGGCTATTTATTTTTCTTTTTTCTTCAACAGCTCCATCAATGGAGCTGATGATTATGTTTGGTTTGATTTTATTTCATTAGTTTATGTTCTTAACTTTATTTCCTTCCTTCTCTTTCTTTGAGTTTAATTTCCTATTATTTTCTATGTCCTTGAAGTAGATTCGTTTTTTTTGCACTTAGCAGTATGCATTTATATTTCCTTCATGTCATTTAATGGCTTAATAACTCATTTGTTTTTATTGCTGAATAACACTCCATGGTATGGTGTACCACTGTTTATGCATTCACCTACTGCTTCCAAGTTATGGAATTATGAATAAAGATGCTATTAACTCTGTGTACAAGTTTTTGTGTAGGTATAAGTTTTCAACTCCTTTGGGTAAATACCTCTTAGAGCGATACCTGGATCATACAGTAAGAGTATGTTTCATTTTGTAAGAAACTGCCAAACTGTCTTCCATAGTGGCTGTACCATTATGCATTTCCACCAGCAATAAGTGAGTGTTCCTGTTCTTCCACATCCTTGTCAGCATTTGGTGTTGTCAGTGTTTTGGATTTCAGCCATTCTAATAGGTGTGTGTGTCGGGGGCGAGTATTTTAGCTCTCACTGTTGTGTAAGCCAAATTCTTCTTTTTATTAATCCATGAATAACAACATTCCTGAGAAGAAAGAATCCTGAAAACTAAGACACAAAGAACTTATGTTATTTTTTTCAATTTATTTAAACTAAAAATAAAACCAAAAAACTAGATACCCATTTCTCCCATCCCTAACTGCCACCTCTGACAGTCACCTCTCTTCTCTGTATGAGCTTAGTTGTTTTTTTTTTGTTTGTTTGCTTGCTTTTTTTTTTTTAAGATACCACCTATAAGAGATCATATGGTACTTGTCTTTGTCTGACTTACTTTCCTCAATTCATCAACTTTTTTAGCCTTTCTTCTTTTATTGCTCTATGTGCAATTAAAATGATAAAATTCCCCATAAGAAGCACAACTTTAGATGCTTTCCACACCTAAAGTTTTGATATGTAGTATTTTCATTATCATTCAGTTAAAAATATTTTCTAATTTACATTTTAGAAAAAAGCCATGTTACTTAGAAGTGTAGTACTTTATTTCCACAACATAACATTTTAAAAATCTTTTGTTAGTGATTTCTAGCTTAGTTGTATTGTGGTGAGAAAATATACTTTTTATTATCTCATTCTTTTAAAACATATGGAGAGTTGGTTTATGACATTGGATCTGGTCGATTTTGTGGGGGAAACTGTTTCCCATGTATTAAGTGCATTCTGTCCTTGCTGGACTCAATATTCTATGTATTAGATCAAGTTTGTCAATCC